AGCTACTACATGTTCTCCCACATCTCTTGCCGGAGCAGCCGTCGGAGCGACGACATATTCTCCCACATCTCTTGCAGGTTCAGTCACCGGAGCAGCCGGCGGAGCTACTACACATTCTCCCACATCTCTTACCAGTTCAGCTGTCGGAGCTAGTACATGTTCTAGCACATCTCTTGCCAGTTCAGCTGCCGGAGATATTGCATTGCCTAGCAACAACGAGCCAATCTGTCCCTTTGATCTCGGTGACTTAGATCTTAACTATCCTATACCTCTCCAACCTCCCCAAGTAATTCCCAGTGCTCCAAAGCATTCTCGTACCTCCCCCAGTTCCTAGGGCTCCAAGCACTCTCGTACCTACCCTAGTTCCCAGAGCTCCAAGCTTTGGCACTGTTGGACTCATTATCTTAATTCTTCTCCCCAGCGAAAATGTTATTCTAAAAATCACAGCTATATTTATCATCATTTGCAAAGCAATGAAAGGTATCATGTCCGAGCTCGAGAAATCTGAGAGTGGGATATGGATGGTAATAAATGATGTTGGGATGCTTGGAACGACGATGGAACAACTAGATGATACCATGAGTTCCCTAGTTCATGTGCTGGAGGAGATAGAATCAAACAGTGAACAAGTAACGATGAAGATGAATGGAGCAGATCTTAGCGAATGAAGCTGCGGAAAGCTTAAGAAGTTTGTTGGAGGAGGGTGAGAAGCTAGCTAGGGAGAGCTCTGATATAGGATGGTGGAACTTTGTTAAGAAGTGGCAGTACCAGAAGAAGATGGTGGAGTTAGATAACAAGCTCTTGAGGTTCCATAGCCTTTACCTACAAAATCGCCCACCAAAGAGTAATGACAGAGCAAGTGATGATTCAGAAATGAAAGACGATGAAGAATCGTTTGAAGAACCTGCACATTATGACGAGGAAATAATATTATATTGTTCCATTTGTAATCCAAAGGGTATGGCTAATCTTTTCTAAATATACACCTTTCATTTTTCTTAAAATGTGTCACAAGGACTTTGCTGACGGCCAAAGACAAAGAACTATATAGTAATGTTTTGTCTTGATTGAAACATACTTTTCATTGATGTTGACGGATTTGGGGTGTCCGCTGCCTCGTCTGATGCACCTTAGGGTGTGTTTGGTTGGAGGGGAGGGGAGGGGAGGGCAAATGAGCCCCTCCCCTCATTTGGTTAAAAATTTTGGAGGGAAGGGGAGCTAAAATGTCCCCTCCCCTCCCCTCCCTCCCCCCATTTTGGCTCCCCTCCAAATTGGGGGTTTTTGGAGGGGAGCCAAAATTTTGGACCATTATGTTCTTATGATTTTTTTAATATTCCACTTCTACCCATAAAATATATTATTATAATATTTATTTCAAATAAAAAATATATTATCCTAAGTAAAAAAATAAAAAATATATACATTATTATAATTAAAAATATATTATAAAAATTATTTAAAAATAAAAATTATTTAAATAAAAAATTATAATATTATAAAATTAATTATTTTTTATAAATATATTATTTATTAAATATATTTTAAAGCTGGAAAAAAAGATAGCCTAAAGAAAATAAAATTTCATTTTTCTTAGAGCATATAAAATTTGTTAATTTGATTATTTTAAATATATTATTATATTAATTAGAATGAAAAATTACTATACCAAATTTTTAATACACATATTAACATGATAAGACTGAATTTTGATTAAATTATATAATTTAAATTAAGATGTAAATTAATTTATATAATATATCAATAAAAAACATAAACTAATATATAAGAGTAAAATGGTAAATTGATTATTACTATCCCTCCCCTCCCTTCCTTAAACCAAACAAGGGATCATTAAATACCCTCCCCTCCTCTCCTTTTTAATCAAACCAAACAAGGTGAGAATGAAACCTCCCCTCCCCTCCCCTACCTCTCCCTCCCCTCCCTCCCCTTCCCTCCCCTCAAACCAAACAGGCCCTTAGTATTTTCCTACTTCTTAAATATTTTTTCTTGTTTCTATTTATTATTATATTTATATAAAATGAATGAAATTTTGACAGCTTGTGGGTCAAAAATGGTGCCTTTTCAAATTTTTTATATATTTTTAAAAAATTTGTATCTAAATTAAAAAGGAACTAAACCAATTTTAGATTGTGCTTTCTTTGAAAAATTATTAAAAAAAATTGAAAACATCGCCATATTTTTGCCTATGAAATATCAAAATTTCACTTAATTTTTTACAGAATCTAATGGCAAAAAGAAAAGAAAAGAAACATTTGGAAAGTGAAAAAAAAATTGACGTGCAACAGAAGAGACGGGATAAGTAACTAACATCCCAAACCCAATGTTGATCCTATTAGATTTGGATCTGGACAGACTTGATGCCTTTTTAGAGCCACGTTTAAGTGGCTTTTTTAAGTAGCTTTTGGCTTTTGACATGTTTGAGTGTGTTTGGAAGAACTTAAAAAATTAAGAACTCCCACCAAAATCATATACTTAAGTCAAAAGCTAAAAATTGCAGCTTATAGAGTTGAAAAAGTGGAGAGAGAAAGACAAAATATGGGTCCCATTTCTTTCACTCAAACAAACTTATTTTCACTCAATTATAATCTAGGGTTAAGGTGCGCCTAGCACCCTGAACTATTTACCCAGGTGCGTCCAGTGGCCTAAAGTAATTTTAGGTGCATCCAGTGTCCTAAACTAATTAAAATGGTGCGTCCATATCCTAAGTTAACATAAATGTTATGTTTAACCGTTACTTTCCTGACTCAACTTAAAGTTGACCCCAGATATTCTACATGGTAGACACATGGGCACCCGATGTGTATTATTCTTACTCAAAAGTCAATTTATTTAGAAGAAGAGGAAGGAAATAAATTCAATTTTGAGTAAGAATAATACACATCAAATGTCCATATGTCTACCATTTAGAATATCTGGGGTCAACTTTAAACTGAGTCAGGAAATTAACAGTTAAACATAACATTTCTGTTAGCATGGGATATGGACGCACCATTTTAATTAGTTTAGGACACTGGATGCACCCAAAATTACTTTAGGCCACTGGACGCACCTGGATAAATAGTTTAGGGTGCTGGGCACACCTTAACCCTATAATCTAAATAATTTTTTATCAATCTCACTTTTATAAACTAATTTTTTTAAACTCTAATTCAAACACAATTCACCTTCTCTAATTTAACTTTTACCTAATTTTACTTTTTTAAAAATCAAATTAGAAATAAGTTGCTTTTTCTACTTTCAATTCAAATGGACTCTTGTCCAGTTACATGAACTCCATTACATTTACAGGATCGTCAAGAAATGAAAGTGAGGCATATGGATGCTGGAGAACATGAGCCGTACAGCATGCTAAACAATAATGCTATCCCCTACCAGTTTTTGGACTACAATCCACCTGTTTCAAATTTAATTGGGGGGTTTCAACAATATGCATTGGGACGCTAAAAACAGAGAGCTTGGTGCAACTTTCTTGTTGTGATTTTTTTTTTTTTTTGGGTTAAGTATTTTCTAGTCTTCATCATCAAAATCAGGCTCAGCCTATATGCACTTGCTTGTTGACCTGCGGGAACAACGTTTGACTTCAATTTTTAGGAAACTTATTTGTTGCGTATTTGAATCTATATTGTATTGAATATTTGGTTGGTGTGTTTTTGTTGGCCTTTTGTGCTATCTTTCTTTGTTTTCTAGGATTCGTTTAATGTGCTCATGGATCAGAATGATTGTACTCTTATTTAATCTACATCTTCTCTTGTGTGAGTAGTGTCTATATTCAATTGTGAATCGTGGATCGGAGGTTAGTTCTAATTGCACCGAGAAATAGGAAATCTAAAATAGGACCTACAATTAACAGTTTGAGATTGCATGAAATAAAAAGCAATTTTTTCAGTCTTCATAGAAATATATTGAATAGCTTCAAAGAGCTTTTTGGCTTGAAAATACTCATCCAGTGATCTTGTGCAATACATAAGCCATGAAGATGTTCATTCATGTCGGATTGGGATATAAAAAATGATGATAAAATGTGAAAATATGTTGTGTGTGTGTGTGTGTGTGTGATCCCAATAGTTTGAATTTGGACAGACGTAGGGAGTGTTTCGAGAACACCAAAAGCACTTGAAACTAAATTACTCACTTAAGTGAGTTACGTTACATTTACAGGATCCCCAATGCATACAAAAGAATATGAATCATAAAGCATGCTCAACAATTTACAGATCTTTCAGTAGGTTTTGAACTATAAGTAGAGCTTCTGATTTCTGATTCTAACTCGAAATAAGAAATTTTATCACTTTGAAGTCCCAAAAGACTTGTGGGTGAGAAATTATAATCGTGAATTATTGATCATCTTCCCTCATCGGACTCTCCCTTATCAATTACAACTCCTTTACTTGTGACTGACACAATTGACAGAGTTGGAATTAATAAAGAAGGGTAATGGGAGTGACAATTTATATATAAATTAGAATAAGTTGATCAATTCACAATTGTAATTTCTCACTCACAAGTACTTTGGGATTTGAGATCAATTTAATAAAATCTCCTTCTTGAGAACTGAGTGTAATATTCAGTACAAATCATGTGTCTCTTGCACTTAATTTATTTCTTATTTTTGTCCACATTTATTCTTTAAAAAAAATACTTCTTCTAATTCATAATATAGGTCGCTTCCAGAAAAATAGTTGAACCAAAATATAAGTAACTTAAAGAGTAATGAACACTTATTTATCAATTTTGTCACTGTAATTAATGTTTAAAAATAACTCCATATTTTTCTCTCTCTTGCACAACCGGGTAAAGTTGAAAAAAATTCAATTTGAAACATGTGTAATGAGTTAACTATTATTTTTTGATATTGACAAATTAGTTAAAGTAATTTGTACGGTTGAGCGAGGAATTACTTTATTGCTATGGAATTTCTAACGATAAGCACATCAAATTAATAGCAACGTGCAGGGGCGTACGCCAAGGAAAGCCAAGCATGATATGGAGCTATTCCTATAGCCTAGGCGATTGAAGATTTCCAGTCACCACAAATGGACAAACAAAATCCAGAAAATGAAGAAGGAACCCCCAACAAGAGATAGACCCAAGAAAATTTCCTCAACATTCCATCCTCTCGAGGCAAGGACAAAATAGAAAAGAAAGGCTTCTGCAAATTCGGTGGCTTCTCGTGACCATCATATAAATGGACAAACAATTGCCAAGCAAGAAATCTATCACATATTGCTTCTGCATAGACTAAAAGGCCACAATAACCATAATCTTCAAGATTTCATTAATCATATTTACAAGAAGGATAATGTCCTGTCATTTTGATGAGTTTTATCACTTGCTTCATCCTCACATTAGCTATCCCGGCCAGTTTACGAAGTTCATGTTTCTTCTGACGTGTATAATGTTCTGTCAATCTGCAAAGGGCACTTATAAGTTCATGTTAGCGACTTACTGCTAATCATAACAGTAAGTCGCTAACCACAATTAAATAGACTAAGGCGACTCTCTAATGTGGTAATGACACATTACATAACAATTAGGACGGCTTAGCTCCATCAGTTCAAAATTTCCAGTTCTTGTCTCAATTACTTTTAACCCCTTCTAGCCATAAAGGAAGGAATAATGACCACAGAAAAAAACGGAGGGGGGCTTTTGCAAAAAAGTCTAGTGATCTGAGGGAGGAACGAATGGCTTCAATAAGGAACTCTATACTTGTACCTGGTTAAAGGCAAATAGTTAGTCACGAAGGATTTTTCCAGAGCAAATTAAAGAAAGAATAAAAAGGGAATTCCTTTTCACATAAGAAGAGCTACAATAAAGAGTACCTCCAAGATAAACCAAAGGATTATTCCCTTGAACAGTAAGGAAGGATCCAGTTTGGTCACAATAATTCTAAGGATCTTCAGAGAAAAATTAACTGTGCACTCTGTTCCATTGAGATAAAATATAAACAAAGGAAAATGACCCGAAATACTGAAAATCAACTCACAATCCCAGGTAATTCCATTGATAATCCCCTTGGGAATTAAATTAAAATTAAGAACATCAGTGAATCTGTGTGAAATTGAACACAATTTAGCCCATATGACTTAATAAATGAACATGAAATCAAAAAATTACCTTTCTCATTCAACTCATTCCTTCAGAAAACCAGATAAAGAAACAGAACCTCAGAGTCATCCATCAGATCTCTTCTTAAATCAGAATCAAACTGCAAAACCTCGAATCTCAACAAAAATCCTCAGCGCCAGTCTTCCACCGGAGACGACACCATCAATTCTAACACTGCGCATTATTCTTCAGTTCCTCGAAGAAATTGCAAATATCTCCAGTTTTGGCGGGAAAACTATTTTCAACAATAGCCTACATAATTAGTAAACGAGCATGGAAACGCAAAACCACCTTTCTATTTCAATCGACCATCCAGGAAATCAAATAAACTAACAAAATGAGAGAGCCACCGATTGATCTCTTTAAAATTATTATCAAACCACAAAAAAAAAAAAAGGAACCTCACCGACAATGTTCCACCAAACTCGAAGCCGTCGATGCCTACGCTTGCACATCATATTCTAATCCGCCTTCTTCAATCTCTTCCGGAAATTGATTCTCTGATTTTCCGTACCTCCAGATTTGGCGGGAAAACAGGAAGGGAAAAGAGAAGCCAGAGTGAGATATCGGATGTGATGGAGGAGACGCATCGCGAGTTTGCGCGTGAATCTAAAACAACCGTTCGATTGGAATACGAAGGGCTGTGATTGGCCTAGATTCACGCACAAACTCCAGATGCGGCTCATCTCTGTCAGAACGTAAGGCGTGATTTGTAATGTTCAAAACGGAGACACAGAACCAGCAGGCGAGTAGGGTGATCCCTTTATATATACAGCGCGAGTGGGCGCTCCAGGATTAGGGTTTTTTTTCCCCCTTTTTTTTTAATAAATTTTTAATAGTTGTAGCGTCACATCCCCGACAAGACTTTGATAATTAATCTTAATTATTACCTAATCAGGCTAGGTAGTAACTGCCGTTTCCGGTAAAATCATCAAGGACTAATTTTAGCTAATTATTTTTAATCATGAGTTCAAATCAATATAATCGATTAATTATTTGATTAAAAAAATGTGAAAAGTGCGCCGTAATGCGGGCCGCAAATTATCACCAGTCCATGCTAGTTTATTTTCAGGTATAATTAAGAGAGATAGGAAGGTACATGAAGGTCCAATGAAGTATGAAAATTTCAAAGTAATTTGTCCGCGTTGCTTAATTTTTATGAAATTGGTTGTTACTCTTCCGGTCCTAAATATAAAACTCTTATACAAATACATTTACACATACTAATATAAAAATTTTATATTTAGGATCAGAAGAGTATTATTTTAGTTGTTGTTGTCGTTTCATAATTAAAGTTATTATTTGTTAAAATGTTGTATTAATTGATATTAAGTAAAAACAATTTTGTGAATTAGTTAATGTTGTATTATTTGTTGTTATTTTTTGATAAGTTAAAATTGTTTCTTGTTATGTTATAAAATAGGTCTTATATTAAGGACCGGATAAATATATTATGATTATTTCTTCTTTTCATTTGTTCTTCAGATTCTAAATTAAGGATGTGTAGGTAATTTTATCATAAAGTTTAATCTTGAGCTAATCCTTAAATACATGAGAATAATTAGGTTATCTTAGAGTACTAAATTGATATTTATACACTTTAGGGTATTTTTGTGTCCTTTTTCTCTCTCTATATATATATAACTAATTATTGTCTGATGATGAAATATCATCCTATGCTCATTGCTTATTATCTTGTTTCACAAGCTTTCTCTCTTTATTTGCCCTTTTCTGGGGTTGAAAAGCTTGGCTCCTAAGTTTACAAGAAGAAGCCAAGGATATATCACAGAAAAGGACAATGACTTTTTTGTCTTAACTTAAGGACAACGACCTTGGCTCTCAAGTTTATTTGTTAAAATCTTGTTTTGATTGATACTCAATAAATTTTTTTTTGTGACATTAGTTATTGTTTTATTAATTGTTGTTATTATTTGATAAGTTAAAATTATTTTACTGTTACACTACAAAATGGATCTCACGTTTAGAATTAGAAGAGTATATTGTAATTATTTCTTATTTTTATTTATTCTTCATATTCTAAATTTAGGATATTTAGGTAATTTTATCGTAAAGTTTAATCTTGAGCTAATCCCTAAAACCATGAGAATAATTAGGTTATCTTAGAGTCCTAAATTGATATTTATAGATTTTATGTTTTTTTGTGTGTGCGTGTCTCTCTCTCTCTCTCTCTAACGAATTTTTGTTTGATGAAGAAATATCATTCCCTCCTCATTACATACTGCCTTGCGTCACAAGTTTACCCTTTTTTTTAGGATGAACCTTGGCTCCTAAGTTTTTGAGGAAAAGTCAAGGATATATCACAGAAAAGGACAATGACTTTTGTGTCTTATATCATCATTATAAATTGCGCCGACCTGTGAAATTATATATGCAAAACCTCATGTGACACGAATCACATGATGATATAAGATTATCATAATATAAACTTAATTATATGAAATAATGCAATTATCTAATACCTAATACTCATCCGATCCTAAATATAAGACCCTTATATATATAAGATATGAGGAGTATTATCTATGGCTTAAAAAAAGCGCTACTACCTCCAGTCCTTAATATAAAATCTTGTTTAACTTTTATTTTGATCCTAAATATAAGATCCCAATCCACTTTATCTATAATATTTATGTACTCCTCCGGTCCTTATTATAAGACCCCATTTGACTTTTTATTTGGTCCTAATTATAAGACCCCAATCCATTTTGTCTCTTATATTTATACATTTTTTTCCAAGATAATCCTTCTAATAATGATAGTTTTAGCCAATATACTTAATTAGCAAGGATATTTTAGGAATGACAACACTTATTTATTATAAATAACCAACTTAACTTACTTCCTTAATCTCCTCAAATAAGTCAATTGGGTCTTATAATTAGGACCGGAGGAGTATTTTTTTTCAAAATAGTTCTTCTAACAATGGTAGTTCTAGCCAATGCACTTGATTAGTAAAGATATTTTAGGAAAGACAACACTTATTTATTACAAATAACTAACTTAACTTCTTTTCTTAATCTCCTTAAAGTAGTCAACTAGCTCTTATAATTGGGATCGAAGGTAGTATTTCATAAAGTTTAAACATTATCACAAGCTCATTGAAGATAGTTTTCTCAATCTTAGCAATTTTCTTACATTCTCCATAAGCCAACCATCTCACCACTATTAATAATTTCACACTTTCCCTCTTTTTTTTTGCTGTGTTCATCTTCTTCTTTTTTGATATGATAAAAGTTTAGGCGATTTGAGTTTTCAGAGCTCACTAGGATTATGGCATACCTTGAGGGTTCATAGAGCACTTACAAATGTATTCACAGATTGTAGATTATGAGCCGATCTTTTATCAACTAAAACAATTCTCGTTGAGATCCAATCTCTCTCTCTCTCACACAATTTTCTGGGTGAGTAACGTGTGGGCCTTGAAGTGTGAAACGGCTCAATATGGGAAGTTTTGGACCTTTTATGTTATATGGACCATTTTGTGGACTGCCCACATGTTTTGTCCAAAATACAAATCCCACAGGCCGCTGTTTCGATTACTCGTGCTCTGGGCTTCCAGATTTATTGGGCCAAGTATTTTGGGCCGTGATTAATGTGAGTGCTGAGTAGTACTCGAAGCCCAAAACACTCGCACCGGACTCGAATCTGACATTGATATGTGTATGCATGGAGGTATTTAACTGGCATTAAGAAAAGCAAGAAAAATTTATTTTATTTTTTAGTGTTTTTAATTATTCACCAGTGACTGATTTGCTAGAAATAATAATCACTGTCTTATTGGGTCGCACAAAGGAGAGGCAGCATCTATGGTTTCACATTATCCAGCCAATCTGTGCTTGACAACAGACATCTCCCCAATACAATTAATAATCCCTCTCAATTTATCCTTAGTTCCCCACACACAAACATACAAACAGTATTATCATCGACATAAGCCATCAAATCTGCATCAAATTATAGTTTTATTTGACTAAATGGGATTCATTATATGATGAAGGTATAAATTTGTCCCAAAAATTTTTATTTAAGAGTATTAGATACCTATAAGGTATAACAATTTTGCCCCTTATCGTTAAAAATATCAATAGTTAAAGTCGCTATTTTGATAATCAACATTAGTTTTTTAACCGTAGATAGTAGTATCACTATGATTTCAAATATTCAAAACAAATTTGCATTTAAAAAAACTTTCAAGTGCTTAGTACTATTGAGTGTAAACTTACAGGTGAATTTACACATTAACCCTTCATTATGTAGTATCAACAAATTAACTTTCAGAATGATATCATTTCAATTAATTCAAAACAACAAACAATGCTAATTCATTTCCAAAACCAATGGACAGGCGTACCTACCAAAAATTACTTCAGACCAACCAAAAACAAAAAGCCATGATGATAATGGCCTTGCTTATTCAGCATTTTAATTGGAAGACAGCTCCATATTTTTTTAATATAAAGTTTGAAGCAAATTATATTATTTATGACATAGATAACATTACATAGCTTTGTGATTATTATATATAAAATTTACAATATTAAATATAGATAAATAGATTAGTTTGGCAGTTTTAGCTTTTGGTAAGGCATCGGTGTCTGAGATTGATTGTTGATAGGTTGAGCCTCATCCATTGAACCTGCACTTTATATGAATCAGCATTGACTTCCCATTCTTATAATTAACCCCACAACCATCTACCTTTTTATCTTCTGTCATCACTAACTAAATAAAATTTACCCTCTATTATAAAACTCATTATTAATTTAAAAAAATCCACATCAAATAAGGTAAAGTATGAAATAAAAGACAAAAAAGTAGATAATAATAACAGCTGGTTCAATTTATATAGAATCTACATTACATAAAAATAAAAGAGTTGAAAGTATATTTTTAATCTAAGAGTATTTTTGAAAGAATAATTAGCATTTAAGAAATCAATGTAAGATAAATTTTTCAAATGAGTGCGATATTGCTCTTTTTAAAATGTTAATTGTAAAGTACTACCTCCGATTCTAATTATAAGATCTTATTTATAGATTATAAACGAGATTTTATAATTATGACCAAAGATAGTATATAAATTCATTAAAGGAAACCCTAACCATGAGGTGCACATTGGTCCAATGGCCTAATCATCACATTATTGAATTATTAGTTTCATCCAAATCTTTTTTGTATTACATTGTGGGGGACCCTTTGCTGAAGATGCGGAACAAGACAATTTTTTTTAAAAAAATAACTAAAATCGGATGAATATTTTTATTCATTCCATATATATAATATTAAAATTATATCATTTTATACTTTTAATATAAACTCATTTCTTATGCTCATAATGTGTTTAGTCATTACCGGTGTACTATTTCTAATTTTAGTTTAGACTGTTATGCATGGATTTTGTATGTTTAATTTATTTGTTTCATGTTTCTGTGGTTTACAAATTAGACTCTAATATGTAATTTTCTTTTTTATTCCAATGTAATGTAAGTGAGCCCAATGTGTCTTTTGTATTATTATTATTTTTTTGTTTGAATAAATTAGTCTTTTCATGAAAAAAAATCATATTAGATTTTAACTTATCTAAATTATACAAAGCTAAGCCTCAAGTGAAAATAACTTTTTCTAAAAAGTGGATGATTTTGGTTGTTACACGAACTTTTACAGAAAAGATATATATATAAGGTTAATACAATAGTCATTAATAATTATAGATAGTTACTTGGTCAAAGTCATGGATCATATTATATTTGTGGGTGATTATCCATAGGATTGGTACTTAATAAAACAATAATTAAATTCATTAATTATGAATAGAAAATTAAAGGACTTATCCTAACATCCGCTTGATTTTTTTTTTTTTGGGGGCCAAACATCAACTTGATCTAATTCTAAAATTTTGACTATGCTTGCAGGATGATCATTTTGTTTCAAATCAACTTGACAATTTGATAGATGAATTAGTAATAAGTGATAGTTAAACGACAATTTTTTTTAAACATAACATGTGTCTTCTCGTTGATGTAGGCTGGTATAGTTAAAGGATTGATGGCCAAAAAGAAAAAAGGTATTGGATTAAGATGATGGTTATTGCCTTACTTTGTGAGTTCAATTTTTCCCCTTAAATTTTAATTATAAATTTTCATTATGTTAATTATGAATGCTTCGCTAAGTATAATTGCTAATTGCTGGGTTGTCATCCACTCTTGCTTTAATATATTTTATGTTCTCAATTAAAAAAAATATGTATTAACAGCGTCGAATTATAACATGACCATTTATATCATTGGGTTATAGGGTTTTTCACGTCTTTCCTTAATATCTACCTACTCAATAGGGGTTTTTGGAAAAAAACTCTAGATAAACTGTTAAATAAAATAATAAACCTTAAATATCTAAAAAGAGGAGAAATTATTAGAAATTTCAAAATTAAAAATTTAAACTTTTAAATGCCTTTTTCTCAATCTATTGTCCTGTATACTTGTCTTATTAGATTTTATGTACTTAGTTTTTTTTTTAATATACAACTTATCTTTAAAAAAGGGCTCAAGCTTATGGCTAAAATTTGATAGTTAAAACAACTAATAATTTCTACAAGTAATTTACAAGATGGTAAGAGTCTCATCCCGTAAAGAAAAAAATACAAGTTCGAATCCTTAAAAACGTATTTATTGAGAGGGTTTTAATCGTAACTCTCCCATCTTGGATGCCTAATTGTTAGGAGGGTTTTAATCGTAATGTTCCCAACTAGATAAAAATTAGTTTCAAATCCAACGTGGCTTGATAATATTCAGGTTCTAAAAAAAAAAATCTATGAGTGATTTGAAATTTACTCATTGGAAAAAAAATTTAATATGAAGATGAAAACAAAATGATGAAATGTTTGATACGAAGGACTATTCTTGAAGCTATATTGTAGATTCTAAAATTTAGAATAAAGTTTTAAGAATTTTCAATATAAATTCTTGGAGCTCTTTTAAACCTTAATTGCAAATTTTAGAATCTGTACGCAATTTTGAAGGAGTTGATCATTTCCGTCAAATATTTCACTCTTTTAATCTTTAATCTTTAAGCTCAATTTTTCTCTAATTATTATATTAGCTCTTTCATGTAAAATGAGAATTTAATTAAAAAGGGAATAATAATAATTAAAAAAAAATTAGAACGACTCACCTGAATCCTTTATAAGGGCTTCCTTTACCGTCTCTCCGACCTTCAACCTGTCAGTGCGGCTGCGATCTTCACCCCCCCCTCACTCTCTCTCTCTCTAACCGCTATTTTTCTGTTGGATTACCATCTCTTCCAAAACTCTGAAACAATCTCTCTTTATCCTTAATCAGTCACCGAATACTTGATTCTTCTATTTTTTGCTTTTCTCCTTCAAATCCTTTCTCAGATTCTTCATTCTTTCCTCAATTTCTGCTCATCAGAATCAGTGGTTCGTAATCTTTGTACTCACAAATCTCTCAGTGGTTGAATCCTGCTTTGTACGCTAATATCAAGAAAAAGAAACCATCAAGAGATTGTACTTTTCAGGCAAGGAAAGAAAGAATCAACGAGGATTCGATTCGGCGCCGACATGGCCTCATCTGTGATCTCAAATCCTGTAACCAACTCCGATCGGTCACGCGACGCCTCCAAGAGGAGGAGGAAGAAGAAGGCTCCGGCTCAGAAGAATCACCAAGAAGATCAGATTCAGAATCACGCTAGATGGAAATCCCAGGCTCAGCAACAAATCTACACCTCCAAGCTCCACCGAGCATTGGCTCGACTGAACCTCGGCGACGGCTCTTCCGGCTCCGGAAGCGGCGATGCTCCTCGACGAGGGAAAACAATCCGCGAAGCCGCTGATAGGGTCCTCGCCGTTACTGCCAATGGGAGGACTAGGTGGAGCAGGGCGATTCTCGCGAACCGGCTCAAGCTGAAGTTCAGGAACCACAAGAGGAAGAGAGTGGCGACGGCGTCGAGGCTGGCTACCGGCAGTAGCCGGTCGAAGAAGCCAAGAGTGAGCGTTTTCCGGTTGAAGGGAAAGACCTTACCGGCAGTGCAGAGGAAGGTGAGGTTCCTCGGCCGGTTGGTCCCGGGTTGCCGGAAACAACCATATCCGGTGATTCTAGAGGAAGCCATCGATTACATATCGGCAGTTCAAATGCAAATCCGAGCCATGACCGATCTCGCCGACCGACTCTCCGCCTCTTCTTCCACCTCGACCTCCGCACCCCCTGGTTAATCCGCGCGGTGACTCAAACTCAATGTTAAATTTTTTTCCTCTCTTTTTCCTTGTTGGTTTCCTTAATTTTCATTTTCACGATTTTCTTTGATCCAACCTGTGTTTCTGCCAAGTAAAGATTTCTGAATCTGTGAAGTACATATATAAATATATCTCGTTCCCTTCTCTCTTCAAGTCGAATCAGTCTCATACTTGGCTTCAAGACTTAATTCACCAGTATTTCGTGTAATCCTCCGTTCTGATTATAGCTGAACTCGAAATTAATCATATCAGCAACATTGAAACAGTCGTGTATGAATCATGTGAATCTTTGTTCCGGATCTGATGTATTGTGAAGAATAGTTGCTATACAGGACACCTGCGATCTTTCATTCTGAATGTTCATACATTGTTGCAACTGTCTCATGGCGTTCATCGATATCTCAGATGGTGCCTGGCGAGTCAGAACCTAATAACAGAGCACTTTCGGTGTCAGCGTGCTAATTGTTTAAAATTTGTGCTAAAAAATTATTTTAAAACTTTCCTCTGAAAAAAAGAAAAAGGCAGGATTGCTAACAAATCTCAAATCCAAAAAAAATAAAAATATTATTATTAAAAAGTTGGTTAGTTCTATTTATTTGTTATTCGGACTTTTTGAGATTGTTTTTTTGGACTTAATAGTAACTCTTCCAAAAAACAATATTTTTTTTTACTATAAAAGAGGATTTGAAACCCTTTAAAATAGAGCAAGAGAGTGTGGGTTTATTATATTTCAGTCTTTCAATTCAAGCCCTTCAAATGTATGAGGTGAGAACAGATGAGGTGGTAAGCAGAGAATGTGATGCAAAATTGCAAATATAAGTCTAGCTTTCATAACTCATTGATATAAAAAAAATTGAAAAAAAAAAAGAGTTTCTATTGAATAAAGTATCTATTTGAATTAGTTGTGAAGAAATAATTTTACATGTTACGAGATAAATATGTAAGAGTAATTTTATAATATAAATTGCTCTTCTGTCTTTTTTTTTTTCTTATAATAAACCGTCTTATATTATTGGTTGATTGTGTTTAGCCAAAATGATTTAAGACTTAATCTATGTTAGAATGAATAATTCAGATTTAAAATTTTTAAATCCAAACACATACCACCTAATAACTAATTTTTATCTTATCTTTAATCAGTTTGCAAATTATAACTAATAGAAACTTAACTCACAATTGGTTTAGTTAGTAAAGAGTTGGCTTGTAATCTATAATGTCATGATTTTGAATCTCATCACTGATGTAAAAATTTTGTTAGTAAATTTTGTCTAATCCTGAAAGCAGGTCCTGACCCTAATAAGCTATTTGAATCTAACTCATCTAAACTTTTTTACACCAAAAAAACTTGTGTATTAAAAAAAACTCACTTAACATGATATTTCTATGAAAATTAATTAAGATTAAAACCACCTAAAATCTGATATTGTGGTGTTATATTTTCTATGAATGTAAGAGGGTGTTTGGATGAAAACCAAACAATGGTTTTAAAAGTAATTTTACGGCCTACAAGATAAATATGTGAAGGAATTTATCTCAATTTATAAAAAGTGCTTCTGAGAAATACTTTTCAGGATACGCCTTAACTCTCTAAATTAGCAAGTGGCACTTAAATAACTGGGTGATTCATATCACACACACACAGCCATGAATAGCGTGCAGAGAAGACAGAAAGAGGGACAAGAGACAGGCATGTGTAGAACAGTAGAAGTGGAAGTGCTAGCATTGGGAAATGTAAATTGAAGGTCCGGGGGAAATGTGTGTCTGTGAGATTCTTTGGTCCCTGTCTTCATTTCTTTCCTTCTGCATTGATCAAGACTGGGAATGCGGAGAGCATCCCTTTTTTATTGAGGTTTCTGAAAATGCCCATCAACATATTCATCACCCTGCCCTAACATCCCCGCGTGGCTATGGGGATGTGGCCCCCACCTTGTCCCCAATAATTCTTTTATTTAAATTATTTTATTTAATTCATTGTTTGAAAAAAATATTATAAAGTCAAAAAAAAAAAAATGAACCACTAAAAAATGTTGCAAGCAGTATAAGTTTTTAGTATAAAAAGTAATAATGGGTTCACGTTGTTGATTTATTCTTCTGACATTTTGATTATTACTTTTTTTGAAAACTTATAGTAATTTTAAGGAAAAATTTAAACCATGTATATGCAAAGTTAAAAATTTATTATAAACGACATCATGTTTTGACTGTGATTCATGTCCCCGAACAATTTGTAACCAGAAAACTAAACAAAAAAAAATCCGACATTATTTTAATACCAACAACATAAATGAAAGTCATATATAAAGTTTTAAAAACAAATCATATTACATGGTTAGTATAAAAGTTAATTAACTAATTTAAGTATATTTAAAAAAATTAATTAAGTTTGTTATTTATAACAAATAAGTGTTATATTTTCTAAAATATTCCTGCTAAATATATATTAGTTAGAACTACTATTTGACGAAACATTTAACACTCACAACTACTATAAGAAGAGAAAAAAAATAATAAATATGAGAGACGAAATGAATTTGGATTTTATGTTTTAAATTAAATTGAATGTGAAACTAACTTTTTAAAATACCAAGCACATGATGTAGTACTATGTATATATACATGCATTACTGTGTGAATAATACGCGACATTATTTATAAAGTTAAGGTAGGAAGAGGGCGGCTCTCAATCTGAAGATCCGTACAACGTGATGGGGAGATGCATGGGCGTGTTGGGAGAGAGATAGGAGGGGTGGCTCTCTCTCTCTCTCTATACATACATACATATATATATATATATATCTGTCTAGGTGTGGTGGCCAACAGCGCACGAGTGCCACAGTTTCGTCGCTTTCCTCGCTTCAATTATTCATTCTCTGGACCACTTCTTCTTCTTCAACCAAGCGCCACTAAACTTCGTCCATCCATCTTTCCCTTTCTGATCCTCTCTCGTCTCTTTTTCAATAATAGGTTAATTTAAAGCATTAAACTGAAAATCTAACCATCCTAATGTTTTATAGTTAGTATGCATAAATATTCTTTTTAAGTGCATTAGCACACATAAACATTTTTAGATATATAGAGCATAACCGTCAAGTGTAACTAACATATGTTGTGTTATAATATCAAGACACTAAGGTACTGTTTAGTATAAGGGAAATGAAGAGTATGAGAGAAAAAATTTTAATGAGCTTTATTAAAAAAAAAAATTGAAGAGTGGGGTTTTAAAATTTTAACAAAGAAAAGAAATAATATAAAAAGAGTAATAAAGATTAATTAAAAGCTTTTGACCCTGGGAAGCACACTTGTTGGGAAGCCTTCGACCTTAACACTCCCGACTTAGTAGAGGTTAGTCTCAAATCCAAAGTGGCTCGAGAATACTTGACTCATACTAAGAAAAAATTAGACATAAAATATGAGTGTTTTTAAAAGTTTAATTCTTCTTAATATTAAAAACTTAAAATTAAATTATGTAAAATTTTGATTCATTAAGCATTATCTAACCAAGAATATACTTAAATCATGGGCGTCCTTGTCAATCAAGATACATGGATGCATCCAGAATTGTTGGGGGAAAAAACAAATATACACATGTGTGTGTGTATGGACATTTTCAAAGCAAATGACATGGTTACCAACTTGCAACAAAAATGTTACAATCACAACAAAGCCATATTCATGAAAATGAGAGATGAACAAAGAGGTCTATTCTTCTCTTCTTATGGTGTCTTGTCATAAAACTTGCCCTTCATATTCATACTTGGTAAATTTTTAAGAATATGTATGTATAAGTTTGGACAAAATAAAACTAGCAAAATTAAAGTTTGTCGAACATTGTGTTTAAATAAGATTTATTTTTATTTTAAATATGAGATCTTAATTAATTTTATCTCCCAAATTAATAATTCTCCCTCACAATATATTTATTGATGATTTGGTGGTATATATCATAGGGTTTAATGACTTAAAAATGAGTATTTTAAGAAAACTAATATGTAATTTTTTTAATAAATAACTAACTTAACTAATTTTCTTAATATTTATAAATTAATTATATAACTCGTGGGTTTAAAGAGAAAAGTTATATTTTAAGAAGTTTTGTTCAGCATATTTATTAATTTTTGCATGCATTTCGTGATCACAAACTTGGTTTCTCTCCTCATGAACCATAATTTGAAGTAGTTAAAAAGCGTCATTTTAAGATCAGTGACCAACTAAACTTCACACACAAAAACAAATGCATAAGAAAATAAAATTAGCAGAGTTAAATAATATTTTAATGTTAGAATGTGGAAGTATAATAATCAAGATTAGGCCTTTAATTATTTGTCCTTTGAAAGATCCTAAGAGAATAATTGATGTGCGCTGTGATTGAGTTGGACATCTCTCAACATATAGTATTGTTTATTTAAAAGGGGAGGGAATACATTTTTATTAGGGAATAATAAATTAGTATTTTTTGCCCCACAATAAATTAATTAGCACTAGTTGATAACTTTGCATTATTATTCCATAAATTAAAGCATCATTTAAAAGAATGGTTATGTCTTTAAAATTAGTTTCTGATTCCTATCCACAGATTTAGTTACATTTCAATTAAAACACTTATAAATACTCCTCCAGTTCTTAATATAAGACCCAATTATTGAGTTGGTTTTAGTTTTAAATACAAGACTCATTTTTCATATTTATCAATTTTCTCTAAATTACCCATATGGATACTCCTTCAACTAGTAGAAGAAGAAGAAGGAATATTGAGAAAGATGATTATGATATTTTAGGAAAAACGTGTATCATTTATTATAACTAACTAACTTACCTAACTTCTTTAATCTAATCAAATTAGTTAAATGAGTCTTATATTAAGGACTAGAGGAGTATTATAGATTCTAAAATTAATAGAAACGTAACATTCCTGGACAAAAAAACAGAAGTGTGGCAAAAATTAAGGAATGTGGCAGCTAAATGTCACAAGTGTTTTTTTTTTTTTGGCCAACAAGATCATAAGATCAATTTCATTCAATGAACAAAATTAAATTATTGTTGATTTTTCTTGAAGTTATTAATCTCCATCTCTAAAATTATAATTTGATTCCTATACGGTACAATGGCTTTTTTTTTCAGTTTTTTTTTGGTAATATGAAAATATAACTGAAAAAAATATAAGATAAAATTTTTAGAAATAATAAAAACAATAAATTGTTTTGAAAACATTAGCTGCTATTAATATAAATTAATTATTTTTTCACAAAAACTATCATTAAAACCATGTAATCCCAAGTAATTATAATATTAAAAAATGGTCACTGCTCATTAGAATATTTGAATTTGTACAATCCAACTCTTGAAATCAAACTGTTAAAATAAGACAAAAGGAGGAAAAAAACTGGTGGGCCAGAAAGCATCAAATTATTAGTGCTAAGCATGTGGGATGCGAACGTGTCACAAAGAAATTGGCTTTCCTTAAAATCAGAGCATGTCTGTATGTGCTTTATCACAACACTAACCACTCATAAAATAATTAATTAGACTAACTTTAATTAATTATAATAGATTAATCAATGACCATTGTGGCTTTATTTTTAATTAATTTGGTAACCCATACAAGCAAGTAAAGTAATAATTAATTTAGTGCTCATAATGATGAGAAATCCTTGTCCCATCTTACAACGTACGAGATATTTAAGTTTTATAAGCCACTTGTAATGATTTATAACTGAGATTCCAATACTTGTAGTTTTGAATCAATATC